TGCCCATCTGGTGATTTCCATGTATAGAGTCGCCTCTTGTGTTGTTGGAAAAGAGTGTTTGTGATGACCAGAACTACCTTAAGAAGCTGCAAACAGGGCAAACTGCCAGTCCTCCTCCCCTCTTTGCTGATTCCCGTATGTTCAGTTAAAGCAAATTCATTCAGGGAAATCTGACTTCCCTGGTGCAGCTTCACAGCAGATCCATTCACATTTTTCCTGTATGTGATCACACTGTCACTTTGATCTCAGTGGTCTATTGTCCTCAGCAAAGCCAGAAGAAAGGAAACAGAAAGAATCCTGCCTAAATTGCTTAAAGAGATTCCTCTTTGGTCTGCCACCTCAGATGTTTTAATGCAATCTACTTGTAGGTGTGGGCGATATATTATTGTGGCCAATACATGGCTTGCTTCTGTTCTTATCTTTTCTACAGCTTCTCCTTCATCCATCACAACCTATGAAACATGTCAGACATATGAGAGGCCCATAGCCTTCACAGCTAGGTCCCGGAAGCTGTGGATCAACTTTAAAACCAGTGAAGCAAACAGTGCCAGAGGTTTCCAGATCCCCTATGTCACTTATGATGGTAAGTAGGAGGAAGACAAGACTACAGGCGAGTGTAAAAGTTGCTCCCAGTAGAGACCCCTCAGTGCAAGGTAAAAACATCTGGAAGATGACTGCACCTCCTGGTTTTTATCATTATATTGCCATCCATTCTTGATCTGCTTTTGATGTCTATGGGATGTCTATGGATACACATGGACTGAGATACCTGGTGTGCTGTAGTGTGTAGAATGATGGACTAGGACTTAGAAAGCTTGAGTTTAAATCCCTGCTCAGCCATGGAAACTCACTTAGGGTGTGGATGTGGTAAAACCACTCCTCAAATGGTAAAACCACTTACTTACATTGAAAGCTCTATTAGGGTCACTCAAAACTACTCCTTAAATGGTAAAACCACTTACAGTACTTACATTGAAAGCCCTATTAGGGTCACTGTATGTTTTGCATAGTGAGTGCTAGCATGGAAGATCCAAGCATAATTTAGAATGGAAAAACTCCCTCTGCATTCAGAATATTACTTAATGCAGTTCTGTAAACAGCAGTACAGTACAGACCATTTCTGTTCTAATAAGAGGCCTGCATAAGTAAACTGCAAGGCTGAGCAATTAAGATTGAAAAGCAGCTATTAAAACAGTAGAAAGTTTAATTAAGGAGTACAGAAATCTATCATTTGCTCTTTGGTTCACTGTTCTAGCTTTAATAGTCCATGCCCTTTCATGGTGCTCACTAGATTTACATAGATCTTCATTCCTCTTCCTCTGATTTAATATGGATTCTGGATTGTCTAATATTCTATAAATGTGGTCTCATTCTCATCATATTCAGCAAGCATGGCTACTGGTAATTGTAACCCAAAAATCGGGGGGTATCAGGTTGGGGGACATTGCTATAGAGCTGGGTTGCTGCTTAATAAACTGCTTAAAGAACTTCATATGCCCAAATCATAGTACAGTTGGAAGCTACAACCCCTCCCTCCTCATGCCATTCTCCCAATGTCAGGATCTTTCCTCCTCTCACTTGACTGACCCCTTGTCCTTTGAATTCTTTGCCACTGGACTCATAACTCATGCCTGCTGTTGCCATGACCATCTCTTTTTCTTTCTGACTTGCATTAGACTTAGCTGTCAGTGTAAAGAGAGAGGGAAGAAAAAAGTCCCTAACTTGAATGTCTTCTTTTAATTGTCCAGTAAGCAGGTACAGCCCTTGAACTGGTATCTGGCTGCACTCCCTTACAACATCTTTAGCTATTTCAAAAGTGGAAATCTGTGCTCTCATAGACATTAGGGGGAAATAAAGATTTATTTATCTATCTATCTATCTATCTCGAAATAAAGATTTATTTATTGATTGATTGATTGGTTGGTTGGTTGGTTGGTTGGTTGGTTGGTTGGTTGGTTGGTTGGTTGGTTGGTTGGTTGGTTGGTTGGTTGGTTGGTTGGTTGGTTGGTTGGTTGGTTGGTTGGTTGGTTGGTTGGTTGGTTGGTTGGTTGGTTGGTTGGTTGGTTGGTTGGTTGGTTGGTTGGTTGGTTGGTTGGTTGGTTGGTTGGTTGGTTGGTTGGTTGGTTGGTTGGTTGGTTGGTTGGTTGGTTGGTTGGTTGGTTGGTTGGTTGGTTGGTTGGTTGGTTGGTTGGTTGGTTGGTTGGTTGGTTGGTTGGTTGGTTGGTTGGTTGGTTGGTTGGTTGGTTGGTTGGTTGGTTGGTTGGTTGGTTGGTTGGTTGGTTGGTTGGTTGGTTTGTTTGTTTATTTGTTTATTTATTTATTTATTTATTTATTTGATTTATACCCCGCCCATCTGGTCTAAAAGACCACTCTAGACGGCTATGAATATACTGTTACCAAACAGAATATGTTGTTACCAAACAAAGAATATGCTGTTACCAAACAAAAAGATCATCAATGCAAGTATGCAGAATAACATAGGAATATGCTGTTACCAAACAAAAAGGTCATCAATGCAAGTATGCAGAATAACATAGTCATTTTTCTGTTGCTGAAGTACCTTATGTTCATTGACTGTCTTTCTTTCCTCACTGTCTCTTTGATTTTTCCCTCTCATCAATGCAGAGGATTATGAACAGCTGGTGGAGGACATTGTACGGGATGGCAGACTGTATGCATCTGAAAATCATCAAGAAATATTGAAGGTGAGACTACTTTCTTAGCTCATAAACCTGTAGAATATACAGTATACTTAGGATTCCTATGCTTGAGACCTTAGAAAGTTCTTTGTTGCAGATGGGGAAGTCCCTATCAAGATTAGAGAGAAAATAAAAGGATTGTCCAAATCATGGTATCCTTGTGAATCATATTGTGGCAGAAGGCCCACATCACCCCTGTCTATCATAGCTGAAACTCAAGTGCAGGAGCCTATGAGAAGACAGGAGGGGCGGAGTCATTAGGACAGTTAGACAGAGGGAGGCAGTTAGAGAGAGGGGAAAAAAGAATAGGGAGCTGATGGAGAGTTAGAGAAGAGAATAGAAGGGGTGGAGAGTGGAGAGAGAATGAGGAGAGTTGTGAAAGAGATAAATTGATTAGTCAAGATAAAGAGATAGTCAGAGATTATTAATGAGTTGGTTAATGTGAATAAATAAATACAACACATGAATAAGCAAATGTGTAAGCAAATATAAGAAGTTGTAGTGAGTGATCCTACACAATGATAAAAGAACATCTGTGATTTAAATACCAAGAAATAAATAATCAAGTTATATTGGCAGCACATGTCTGATGCATATATGGGGCAGTGTGGGTGAGAGATATTCACCGTGGTGGCAGTGGAAGAAAGACAAAACATATCCAGAGAGTGAACCTTGGTTTGGGGGAAACAAACCGGGAACACTGGGTGGAACATCACACATATGCTTAACATAATTTAAACTTAGCCCTAAGTCATGCTCCCA